CTGAAAATAAGTAGAACACCTAATATACTAACTATTCAAGTTAACAACGAACAACTCAAACAAGTGCAGCAATTTAAATACTTGGGGAGCATCTTCACAGATGATGGAAGAATTGATAGGGAACTTGAGGCAAGATGTCAAAAGGCGAACGCAGTAACTTACCAACTCTCCCCACTGCTAAAACACCCAAGCATCACTATGGCACTAAAACGACAACTGATAAATTGCATATTTATACCAACCCTCTGCTACCAATGCCAAACCTGGTCCCTAACAAGAGCACAGAAGAAAAAGATCACGACGTGCGAAATGAGATGCTTACGTAAGGCTGCCAATGTCACAAGGAGAGACAGAGTTCGAAACGAGAACATTAGATCAATTTTAGGAACCACACCATGCCTGCAATACATAAAGAAGCAACAAATCGAGTGGTTTGGCCACTTGATGCGAATGCAAACCGACCAACTGCCTCTACGAGCATACAACGAACAACACTACTGCCCTAGAGCAAGAGGCAGACCGAGAGTACGATGGATAGACAATATATCAGAGATCCTGAGGCAACACGGACTAACAACAACACATGCAACACACCTGGCCCAGGATAGAAAACTGTGACTCCCCACTACGCTGTGAGGCAATTGTGGACAAGACAAGACAAGACAAGACAACTACTTATAACTGTACCTACAAGCACTTATTTGAACGTGATGCTTCAAACGCATCTGAGTTGCAGCTTACTATCTCATATGCGGCGTCTGTGGCTAAGGCGTTACGAGTCCGACTCGTAAGCCAGCATACCGCGATCGAAACCCACTGCAGGCTGCGCGGATTTTTATCGTGGAATGGGACGTCGCAGGTCGACCCAGCCTAAAATGGGTACCAGGATGGGCTGTCCTGGGAAAGTAAAGACAGCCGGCGTAATGCTGACCACATTACCCACAGAGTGCTGATGGTCTGTAAAAAATGGGACGCTCTGCCCATATGCCCGATGCGCCGAAAGGCGTGAAAAGGGATCTTTACTTTACTTTTTATCTCATAAATTAGTGTATCATTTAATGGACTTCTGTCGAGAAAAGCCTCGGTGACGATGGTATTTCGCCCGAGATTCTGAAATTCTCGAAGCACATGATCCTTTCGAAACTTTATAAGATTATCTCTCAATGCTGGCAAGAAAAATCTGTGCCCCAAGAACTGAGAGAGGCCAGCACTTTAACATGATACAATCAGTGGAGACACAAGCAATTGTAATAACTGTCGCGGCATCTCTGTTAAACTACGAGGCTTTTCTCGTGTGATCCTGAGGAGACTGCATATTCTAATAGACAATATACACCCTGAATCACAAGGTGGGTTTACAGCCCAGAGATCAGCAGCAGATACGATCTTTTCCATCAAGTAAAAAAAAAAAAAAACTCAAGCGAGAAACAAAAGACACTATTTACTGACTTTTTAGATCTCACTAAGGCGTTAAATTATGTTAGCAGAGATAGCCGGTTCAAGATCCTTGTTAAATACGGATGCCCACTCATACTATTGTGCATCAGTAAATTCTTCCACAAGAATATTATTGAAACCGTCATATATAAGGAAAGCTAATACGCACACACACACACACACACACACACACACACACACACAAACACACACACACACACACACCACACACACACACACACACACACACATATATATATATATATATATATATATATATATATATATATATATATATATATATATATATATATATATATTTATAGGGCGCCAATTTCGCCCTTCCAGATTCGAAACGGGGTAAAGCAGGGTTGCGTTTCAGCTCCTCATTCTTCTTCACTGCATTGCTTCGGACTGCTTTTGGGACAACAACTTTATAGATATATTTCCGTACGAGGTCAGATGGCAACTTTTTCAATCTGCACTGGCTTCATGCAAGGACTAAAATGCAGACAAGATGCCTAAGGGACTTTCTATTTGCCACTGATGCAGCTATTACCGCACACACAGAAAACGATTCACAGATTTTCGTGGATCTCCTTCTTCTTTTCTTCTTCTTGTCATTCACCAGGTGTAAACTACGGGGGAAAGTTCTGGTTGTTCATCAACCTCAGGATTATAGTCTTGTTCCGAAACCCGAGTGTTGTGCGCACATCTATTTTTTCAGAACTGACTTAGTTGTATGCAGACTGTTGGTTCCTTGCTTCTCAGGCAGATGCTAACAATTAGCCGACTCTTACGACATGCTTGTTTGTGAGGCAGAAGGTCTATTCTTGTTTCCCCCTACAATAGGGCTACGGAACTCACACTTTGACCTCGTGAATTGCTTCGCTAATGCTTATCTAACATATACAATGTGGGACCTGTTCACGTTTCTCGGCACATCTTCACACTTTCTCAGTCTGATCTAGGTCAGAGGGGTGTCACGTTATACTGCTTACTTCGAAAAAAAAGTATGTAGTGTGACCTAGGCTCAGGCTGTAGGTAAAGGAGGGGGAGGAGGGGGGAGTTGAGTTAGGTACACGTCTAGATGTTCTAGGGGGTAGTTGAAAGCTGTCGTTGTGTTGTATAAAACACGCGACACTGGAGCTGATGTAATTGGAGTCACGACGTAGAAGAGCCTGAGAAAGTATGAATGAGTGGTCAGACAGTGTTTAAGATAGGCCAAGAAACGTGAACGGGACCACACTGTGCGTGTAAATACCACTTTCCTAACACAAACTGCTCATGCAAACGCCACTGGACTAACCTAAATATTATTCGTAACCAACATAGGAAGGCCTTAATTGGGGGGAGGGAGGGGGTGGGGTGATCAGCCAAATGAAGCATTTTCTGTGGTGGGGATGCGGCCTCATGGGGACCCACGCTCTAATCAAGAACTTAAAAATACTAATACTAAGCATTTAAAAAAATGTATTTGCTATATGACAGTTGACAGAGAAGTAAAAAACTGTCTACACCAGGGAGATAAATCTTCGTAGAACACGAGGGAGACCAAGAAAACAATGGAGAAATAATATCGAGACAGACCTGTAAACATTTGCTGCCACCAACTGGAAAGAGAGGGCCAAACAGAGAGATGAATGGAGGCAGGTGATATCTGCTGCAATAAACCACAAGGACTCGGAATGCTGAAGAAGAAGAAGAAGAAGAAGAAGAAGAAGAAGAAGAAGAAGAAGAAGAAGAAGAAGAAGAAGAAGAAGAAGAAGAAGAAGAAGAAGAAGAAGAAGAAGAAGAAGAAGAAGAAGAAGAAGAAGAAGAAGAAGAAGAAGAAGAAGAAGAAGAAGAAGAAGAAGAAGAAGAAGAATTGCTATATGGCTAATCAATAAAATATACTAGTACATTTTCAGTAATTAAAAAAAAAATAATAGGAATGATAAAAACTCCAGAAAGAACTTTTACATACGGTTGGTGGGGGAGGGTATTATAGGTGGGGGTTAACTAGGGGATCTTGGCATATTTTGAAATATTCTATGTTCTATATTCCAGCAATACATCATATGAAGAAAGGAAAAGCACCCGGGCCAGACAACATCTAACTGGAAGAAATAGAAGCACTGGGAGATTTTGGAATTGAAATAATAACTAAACTTTTAAATGATATTTATAATAGTGAGTATATTTCAAATGACCTTTAAAAACCATATTTATAGCTCTGCCAAAGAAAGCAGGCACTATAAAATGTGAAGACCATAGCTCAATAAGTCTTATAAGTAACATGGCTAAGATTTTACTGGGAATAATTATGAGAAGAATAAGAAACCAAATTAAACCAGAAATCAGCGATGAACAATGTGGATTTGTGGAAGGAAAAGGTACAAACAATGCCATATACATCCTAAAGACATTGTCAGAAAGAGCTAGAGAAGTGAAGCATTTGACTGTGTGAAGCATGAAGAAGTAATCAAACTGTTAGAAAAATTAAACATTGATGGGAAAGATCTACGAATAATAAAGAATATATATGTATTGGCAGCAAACAGCAGCTATAAGAAATAACTGTTTAGGTACATTTCAAAGCATAAAGAGGGGCGTACGACAAGGATGTGTACTGTCACCTGATTTGTTTTCAAGATACAGTGAATATAAAATGAGATCTTTAATTGATATGCCTAGAATTGTGGTTGGTGGGCACAATATAAACAATTTACGTTATGCTGATGACACAGTCTTGATAGCAACAAGTCAGAAAGAACTACAGGAAATGATAGACGTTGTGGTGTTAGAAAGTGGAAGAATGGGCCTCAGTTTGAATAATGAGAAGACAGAAGTAATGGTGGTATCCAAAAAAAAAAAAAAAAAAAACGAATTATTCCTAAATGTGTAAAACAAGCCGATGGTGTTATTTTAGGACAAGTACAGTAATGTAAGTATCTGGGCACATGGATAACATCAGATGGAAGATGCATAACTGAGATAAGAAACAGAATAGGACAGGCAAAAACTGCATTTTTTCAAATGAAAAACATCTTGTGCAATATATCCTTGTCATTGAAATTTAGAAAAATAATTCTTGCTTGCTACATACATCCAGTTTTAACATATGGCTGTGATCCTGGACAATCGGTAGGCAGGCCAAACAATTTCTAGAGGCCTCAGAGATGTGGTTTTACAGAAGAATGCTTAGAAAACTTTGGACAGCCAACAAGAGCAACCAAGAGGTTTTGAAAGAGGCGGGAGCCCGAAGACAACTTATCACAGACATCAGAAGGAGACAGTCATCATTTTTCGGCCATGTTATGAGAAGAGGGAAAATAGAACATGTTGTGACCACTGGAAAGATCTGTGGAAGGAGGGATAGAGGATGACAACGAGAGAAGATGCTTGACAGTCTTGTTGCATGGCATGGAGGTGTGTCGGCACACGAACTGATACATGCTGCAGGAGATCGCAGATTATGGAGAGGCATGATCGCCCACGCCAGTCGGCAAGGCACCTGAGTATGATGATATGTTCCCCAAGTTTCTGGCGCCCCTAACTGATATAACATTCTTTGAACTTACCTGTAATCCGTCGTATGACCAGGACGCAAATTGCATGGAACAGTTCTGGGCGTCGAAGGGAAAATAGCGAACGTTTATGGAACATGAGCTCTTGAAGATCACCATAGAGAACCAGGTGACATTGCCATCGTTACTCACGATCAGGTTAGAAGATATGGACGACTCGTACGTGGAGACATCAGCACTGGCAAGTTTCAAGAAAGAAATTCATCACTTAATAAATTGTTTAAGTAACGCAGTGAGTTATAGATAAGATTCAATTTAAAACATGTTAATGAAGCATTTATATTCAAAAAAGATTTTCATAATTTCACTTGTTAACGTTTTCAATAACAGTAAACTCGCCATAAGTTTCTTGTTAGCTCTAAAGGTTGCGTACATATGATAACTTCTTCTGTTCTATTCTAATCTTGCGTTATTCCATTTTAATCGTATTCTTTTCAGGACTTCGCAAACCAGCTCTTGTATTTATTGTCTGTTATGTGGTTTTACTAAACCATTTGTGGTCAGTATTGTAACATTGCCAACTGAACAGTACGTTATTCATGCCGTTGTAAACATTATGAGTGGTTTCCTACTAAATCGTCTAAGTCTTCTAATCGAGGCATATCATCAGTACGATGAAACTGCGTTTTTACTCCAACGTACCTGCGGTTTTTCTATAACATTGATAATAATATGGATTTTTCTTCTCTACCACCGACACTTTTTTTCCCTCCTTTGATAGGTACTGTAACAGACAGTAATTTGTGAATATTGCAGCTTTTTAAGACTTTTACGGTGATATCCGTATATTAAAAAAAAAAAAAAAATATTATACACACAGAAGCCGTGATAATAAAAATTATTATTATATATTTTTTTTAAACTTGTCCAAATACAAATAACAACAGTCCTTACAAGCGTATTGTTCCGGAGAGTTAATCTACAAATAACTCTCCCATCATTCCAAAATAGAAACAGACAACAAAGACAACTCTCTTTAAATTCCCTTTTTAAATAAATCGACCCGGTTGTGCAGACACACATGTATTTAGATAACGGAAGGGTCTGTATTTTTAAAGTTTAAAGTTATCGACTCTTTTATCCGTTTTGCAATTGTTTAGACTTGTACAAATTACGTGTCTGTATTCAGGGCTGAAATGTGGGAACTGATAAAGATATTAAAATGGGAATACAAAAGGTAAGAGGGGCTTTCACAGCACTATGGAATTTGTGGAGTCAAAAGAAATTAAAAGAAATACTAAACTTAAAATTTTAAATTCTAATGTCAAATCAGTACATTTGTATGGGGCGGAAACATGGAGAACAACTAAGGTAATTACTAATAAACTACAGACATTCATTAACTGGTGCCTGCGCAGAATAGAGGGAATTAAATGGTATGATAGAATCACTAATGTAGAGCTTTAGGAGAGAACTAAGCAAGCTCCAATGGACCAAGAGGTAAAGAAAAGACGCTGGACTTGGGTAGGACACACCTGAGAAAAATAAAACTAGAATGTCTTTGCATTAGAACCCACAGGGGCTTAGGAATAAAGAAAGGCCAAAAAGCACAAGGAGAAGAAAGCTGGAGAATGAAGTTAGAAAGAATTGGGAGAGCTGCATGTAATAGCAAATGATAGAAGACAAGGCGCGAGTTGGTTGAGAGCCTATGCTCCATTTTGGGCTAGAAAGGCAGAAGAAGAAGAAGAAAAAGAAGAAGAAGAAGGAGAAGAAGAAGAAGAAGAAGAAGAAGAAGAAGAAGAAGAAGAAGAAGAAGAAGAAGAAGAAGAAGAAGAAGAAGAAGAAGAAGAAGAAGAAGAAGAAGAAGAAGAAGAAGAAGAAGAAGAAGAAGAAGAAAAAAAAAAGAAGAAGAAAAAGAAAAAGAAGAAGAAGAAGAAAAAGAAGAGACATGGATGAACAACCACTCTATCAATTTATGAGCACTTTACAGATTTTGGTGACCTCCCACCTCCCCTCCCCTCCCCAACACCCGAGCCATCTTAACAGCATTATAGACCTCTCCGCAAGCCAGTGTGTTGGAACTCTGCGTCTACCACACACACAGAGAGAGAAAAAAATGCAATTGATCACTTGACATACACAGATTAGAATGAGGAAAATATTCTCTTGTGGCCCCTGGACACGTGCCCAGCTTTTACACATGTTAAGACTGCACTAGAATCTCTATATACATATAACACAAAATATAAACAATATTAAACCATAAAATAAAATTATACTTATCAAAATAAACAAAAAATAAAAAAATTATAATATGGTGAAAAATAATACTTAATTTACATTTAAAACGTTTTATGTACTTTTCATAATTACAAAGTCTTTGATCAGTTCCTTAAAATATTCTTATGTGACAAACATGCTTCTATACTTAAACGAGACAAGGCATCCAACATTGTTGCAGTTTTGTTCCCATAGGATTTTTTATAAGCTCAGATCAGCTACAATGCTGTTGAAACATCATGTTGTGTACCCTCCCTTAATGCTGCCATAGGCACATGCTTAGAGTGCTTAATGGTTAATCCGGCCCTGTCTGTATGTGTAGTTTTGATAAGTTATTTATACAATTATACAGGGAGTGGTCGTGGCCTAGTGGCTAGATGTTCGCGTGCGGATCGGACTGTCGTGGGTTCGCTCCCTGTCGGAGCTAGAATTTTTTAAAGGGCTGCGATTATTTTCACGTGGACTTGGACTTCTAGTAATCCCCCCTGGTCTCTGGGTAGTGAGATCGGACGCCCGTGGTTATTGATGCGCACGTAATAAATCCCTTGGCAGTTGGAAATCGAAAAAAAGTAACCTGACGGTGCTGCCCGGGAAAAATTAGGAATAATCTACACAAAGCATTTTAGGATCCTCGCCGGTGCTGCTCTGTGCATTGTGCTGAGCTTCTTCAGACTCAAACTTGAGTTAGAAGAAAAACGGAGCACCTAGGGTTACTACCCGTGTGCTATGATGTTGATCTTTCAAAACTGTGAAAATGACTCTATTCTACCCACATCCTTTCCTAGAAGTAAGATACCAATTTTAGGGTTACATCGATGGCGAAGCTCTCGTCAAAGCAATTTATATAAAACTTCAATAGATTTAAAAAAAAAAAAAATCATCGTCATCATCATCTTTTTGATGTGCCAAATATGCCTCACATATGGCTCATTGAATATTTCTGCACTCTATTTATCCTGTGCGGTCTTTTCGATATCACGGGTAGACTCTAGTCAAGGACCGTTGGCCTCCTTCATCAAAGTTCATCACTTGGACTTCTTGCTTGTCCCAATCCATCGGTTTTACATTTTAATTTCTGGTGATTTTGTGTCTGACTCTTCTGGTGATGTACCCAATGTAGCACTATCTTCTAAGCCAGTGGCTCTCAACCTTCCTAATGCCGCGACCCTTAAGTACAGTTCTTCCTGTTTTGGCCACCCCCAACAGTACAATTATTTTTTTCGCTACCTCCTAACTGATCTGGATATGTGCTTTCCAAAGGTCTTTGACGATCCCTGTGAAAAATTCGTTCGACCAATAAAAGGGTCGTGACCCACAGGTTGGGGACCGCTGTTCTTAGTCCTAACCCGTAGATATCGGCTGTTCATCCATTTCTCGGATTACTTCGTCTTTCTTTAATTTTTCAAATTTAACTTTCATCATTTTTGTCAGGTATTTGTATTTGCATGCATTTAACATTTGTTCCATTTTCTTCAGTGGTTTTCCAGCTTTCACTGTCATATGGTAAAACTAAAAAAACTATAGAATGCAAACTGCACAATTTGGTTTTAAAACTGTATTTACACGGGTGTCGAAAGATAACGTCTTCTTTCTAAATGTCCACAATTTCAACCCTAGAATAGCCACCTACTTATTGTGAAGTAGAACATCAGGTTTCCACACTTCCTCATAAGGCAGTCGAAGCACTTTAATGCCTCCATATTTTGCTGGATCCCACCTCAGATTGAAATCAGTCCAGATCTGAAATGTAAAAGATGAATAACATACACAAAAATTAACAAACCTTTCCATCATCATTATGCTTCATTATGTTATCATCATTGTCGCATAGCCAGGCAACCTTCTAGAATTAGCAGATGTACAAAAATATTGTTTGAATTATGTGTGATTATGGTATACACATTTATGTCTTGGCCGGTACAGAAGAGATTATGCACAGGGATACGATTTAACTGACTGACTGACTTTCTACCCAACCAGGACATTACACAAGGGATAAACTCCCGATGACACAATTTGCCACCATGTGTGTGAGGATCACCGTGGAGAGGTCCCAGAAACCGCGTTCAGCCTTTAGGCCATATTTATGGCCAGGCTATATTGCGGCCCCTGGCAAGAGCCAGAGTAGGGCTTCAAATAACGAAAAATTTCATCCTGAAAAGGACGGAAAGGAAACTATATACAATTTACTCTGTGTTATATATTAGGAGATGAGGGGAAAACTGCAGCAATAAGCAGACATCAGTCTGCAATAAAGAGGCCAGCAAGAATTTACCGTTCGAGGACAATTTCGTCTACGGCAAACCTAATATGAAGACAATGAAGCTTCATACATCCAGGCACGAGAAGAGTGTTAGTCTAGATGTGGTCGCGAAAAAGGCTAAAAGACGCTGACTTTCTTCGGAAAAGGTCCAAAAGAATCCGATTTCGATGCATCAGGTAACTGATGTTCACTTTTTTTTTTAAAGCATGATGGATATTGGTTAAACATGCATGTACACAAATACAAACTCATAGCTAATATTGCTTAGCTTTGAGTGAAACCACTGTAGGATAGAGCATTCAGCATTTATACACAATCAAAGAACTTTGTTTTTAGTTTCACAAGGTCATACGAATCATTCTGATGACAAAGTCCCTAACAAATATAGAATAGTACTAGTCATACATTTAGATGTCTTAACTTACTATATGTACAGTCCATATGTTTAATTCGATGAGGCCATAATTATTGTGTAGCTACCAATGCGTGACACATTCAAGAGACATGTTTTACCTGATTTAGCCAGCAGTTTGTGGTAAGAATCTGGTTTTTCTCATCCTGTCAATGGATATTAAACATTAAATGTAAATACTGATGCTATGCATTATGGCGTATCACTAATTTAAAAAAAAAAATGACTTACAAAACAAGCTGGTTCTGTCAATGGCATATTTAAGGTATCCATAATCACAGAATATCAGGCAGAAAGTTATCCTGCAAGGAGAGAGGGGGACAAAACAGAGAGGGGCGGAAAGCGTACGAGATAACGGTAGGTTGTGTAAATAGTAAATTCATATCATTGTTTTTTTATTTTTTAAATAAAAAAAAATGAAGTAAGCATAGAACAAACTGCCATTATAACGGTCGACAGATGGAAGGGAAAATACAATTACAAATTCAAATGAACGCTTCGACCTGAGTCTTTATCATAGTATCAACAGAGAAAAGAACAGGCTAAATAAACAAACGACATTATATCATATTAGTCCAACTATACCCACACCGATTTAAATCATCACTTCTGTAAAAAAAAAAAAAAAAAACTTGTAATACCTTCGAGTGGTACAAAAAAGTGCTGCAAAGTGAACGATAGAACACAATTTACTTATAAATGGTCACGAATTGGGCGGGAGGTCTGTCATAAATTCGATCTTTCCAGACGTCAACTGCATTTTATTTAGAAAGCATGTTAAGTTCACACATCCACAAACAATCAAACACAAACACAAGCACACAACCTCTTAGACACACAAGACTGCAATACTGTCTGTGTTTACCATGTTTGTGGTGTAGGCAAAGGAGAAAGAGAAGATGGGAGGGGGCTGGGGAGGGGTAGAGTCGCTAAGCCCCAAGGACTGAGGTCCACACGGCTAGCCCTGTCGCCACGGACTGTCTGGACAGGATTTTTGTTTCAAACCCGGTTCAGAAAAACATCTACAACGTTGTCGAGGAATTCCATCTTTAGTCTTCACCTGAGAGCCCAGTGTTTTAACTGTTCGGCCAGCCGCGCCTGGTTCACAAATCAATATGTGCAATATGAATACTAATTGTAAAAGAATAACCAATGGGGAGCCAATGATAACCGACTTTCCATCTGTGAATGTAAAGTGAGCACTGAGTACTACATTAGTAGGATATTTCTTAAATCGTATACGGTGAAGCCATTAGGATTCTTCCATAGACAGTTTAGTTAAAGAGGCATTAATAGGGCGTAATGAAAGGTATGCTATAGAGCAGTGATCTCCTCTAACCTTTTTCAAGTCCCGCCCCCCTCCCTTTAGTGTAATTTAAGACCTCCACACACCCCCTTCCCAGTGGGTATATGGCAAGCGCCCCCCCCCCCACACACACCAAGCTTGAGTATGGGGCAAAACCCCCTCGCCACTTTGAGTATATGGCCATACCTCCCCCCCCCCCCACACACACACACACACCCAGCTTGAGTATATGGCAAGACCTCCACGACCCGCTTGAGTGAATGTCAAGTTCCCAAACTCCCAAGTAATAGGAAATAATCCCCATCCACCCACCCCTTTAAAGTATATGGCAAGATCTTCAATTCAACATAACAAAATATGATTAAGTTAGGTATGTGTACCCCACTAGGACTCACACAAGCGACAAACATCCGGTGACACAAAGTGCCACCATGCGGATGAGGATCACCCGTAGCGAGGTCCCAGGCCGTGAGGCTATATATTTATATGGCCCGACTATATTCAGGGTCCCTTTGCAAAAGCCAGAGTGGGGCTTCAAATAACCAAAAATTCAATCCCTTTTGGAGATGATTATATGATTAAAAAGAGTGGGGTGGGGGGGGGGGAATATTCGGTAGCAAGAACAACAGAAACCAAGGAGACACGTTTTGATCACAATAGGCTCTTTATCTATAAACAAATGCGTTTGTTATCGTCAAAGTTTGATATTTAACGGTTGATGTATAACATTCCTAATAATGCAAATATGTCATTTTGCCAAATCTAATAAAAAGTTTAAAACAACATTGTATCTATAATAAAACTAAAGTGAACTTAAGTTCAAACTGATTACAACAAACACAAAGGAAATTATTTTCAAAATTTCTCGACACCCCCACCGCCTTCCCCCACCCACCACCCCTTTGAACCTCACTTTCCCGTGTGGGTTCCGAAGCTCAAAGAAAGGGGGGGGGGGAACCACTGCCTACCCAAAAACATATCGTAAGAGTCGAATTATTGGGAGCTTCCTTCAAGTCGGATTGCATCAGTCTAAGAGACAAGGAACCAACAGTCTGCATAAAAAGGAGTCAGATCTGTAAAAGGGATGCATATGCAACACCCAGGTTCTGGAACACGACTGCAGTCTAGAAGTGGATGAACAACCAGAATTTTCCGACAAAATTTACAGCTGGTGAATGCGAAGAAGAAGCAGAAGAAACCTCACTGCGCCGCCTAGGGGAACGCACGCCCATGATGGCGACCAATACTGGAAAAGATGTACGGTGTCTCTACAGTGTCAACGGTTTCTGAAACCCTTGACCAACAGCCAGAAATGGCACCTTTATTAACTGTACACGTGGCGCTGTTGTCGGGGGTGTCCTGTCGGTGCCTGGCTGTCTGACTTTCTACCCCACTAGGACATTACACAAGCGATAGACACCCGATGACTCAAAGTGCCACCATGTGGATGAGGATCACCGTGGAGAGGTCCAAGAAACCGCGTTCAGACAATTGGCCATATTAAGGATATATTATACTGTCTTGTCGTTGGAGCGTTCTTCTTCTTTGTTGTTTCACAAATGTGAGCGTTGTGTGGTGTTCCGGACTAGAATATCAGGGCTGGCTAAGGTTTTCATTACTTCTAACGTCTGCAGTGTTCATATATATATATATATATAGCACACACGAGAACGAAGTCATATATGTATGTGTTTATATATATGTATATATAAAGTTGGATGCGTATCCTTTACCAGACGTTGAAGATCAACAGTAGAATTTGTTTGTAGAAGCTGTTGTAGTTTTTTTCATAGCAAAGTTTACGTCCAATAGTTTGCGATTGCTTCAAAACGGTAAGCTCTCGGTGCCACTGTCAAAACCAAGGCAAGACAAATCGTCCGCAGCTGGGATCGAACCCAGCACCCGGGCATTACAAAGCACATTCGCAACGACTAAGACACAGACGTGGACACATTTACGCACGCATACACATACATACATATACATATATATGACTCCGTGCGCCGTGTGTGTTTTCTCCCTCCTGTGTTGGATACAGATAGCACACACACACACACACACACACACACACACACACACACACAAAGAAAGGGGGTGGGGGATAAACCCTCAGGCATGTAGTAAGAAGCATTCAATTAGAGCTTTGCAAAACTTCGGAGATGTTGGGCCGAAAGGCCATGATACTTAACCCTAGCTGTAAATCACAGCACCACATGTAAAGCGCTCTTTTAGGGAGAACACAGCGGGAAAAGACTAGGCTTATTATCAAGTTGCATTGAAATTGGACGTGTTGGGTGAAAAGGTTCAGATATCGCCATCAAGCTGCAAACATCAACGCAATTTGCCAACCTGTATTTTTAAGGATTAACACAGTAACAGCAGCAGCACCAGAGAAAGAAGAAGACGAAGAAGAAGAAGAGAAAGAAAAAAAAAGAAGAAAAAAAAGAAGAAGAAGAAGGAAAAGAATAAGAGAAAGGAGAAAAAGAAAAAAATGAGAAGAAGAAGAAGGAGAGGCAGAAGCAGAAGAGGAAGAAGAAGAAGAAAAAGAAGAAAAAGAAGAAGAAGAAGAAGAAGAAGAAGAAGAAGAAGAAGAAGAAGAAGAAGAAAAAGAAGAAGAAGAAGAAGAAGAAGAAGAAGAAGAAGAAGAAGAAGAAGAAGAAGAAGAAGAAGAAGAAGAAGAAGAAGAAGAAGAAGAAGAAGAAGAAGAAGAAGAAGAAGAAGAAGAAGAAGAAGAAGAAGAAGAAGAAGAAGAAGAAGAAGAAGAAGAAGAAGAAGAAGAAGAAGAAGAAGAAGAAGAAGAAGAAGAAGAAGAAGAAGAAGAAGAAACTATTATTAGTATACAACTTTGAAAACTTTGTAGAGCAGTTGTGAAGTTGTGTGTGTGTGTGTTGAGGGTGGGGTGGAAAATTAGAAAATGTAAAAACAGCTGAATAATAAACAGCGTTAATTTCCTGGCGGTTTTTCATTCACGAATTAAAAGAACCCCATGGCATGTGGCTGAGGTGTGCAGCTGGGTGGTCATTAGGAGATTGAGTTGTTTATCTTCAGCTAAAGTTACAAGCATTCCTTGCTTTTGATAAACAGATACATAAAACGGGAAGACGTAATACATAAGAATGCAAGTAGAGCTGCAAACACATTTGTAAATAATCTGTTTGCTTTGATTATGCAAAACTAACAAATGTCAGGGAAAAATTTCTAGGCATTTAAACAACATGAGAGGCCAACTTGCAGTAAATGATGGACACTGGTAGACGTGGATTAAAAAACAAAAGAAATTGTGCAAGCAGAGCAGTAAACACATATTCTACTATTGTCTTTGCTTTTACATACATACATACATACATACATACATACATACATACATACATACATACATACATACATACATACATACATACATACATACATACATACATACATACATACATACATACATACATACATACATACATACATACATACATACATACATACATACATACATACATACATACATACATACATACATACATACATACATACATACATACATACATACATACATACATACATACATACATACATACATACATACATACATACATACATACATACATACATACATACATACATACATACATACATACATACATACATACATACATACATACATACATACATACATACATACATACATACATACATACATACATACATACATACATACATACATACATACATACATACATACATACATACATACATACATACATACATACATACATACATACATACATACATACATACATACATACATACATACATACATACATACATACATACATACATACATACATA